GATGCCACTTCACCTGCAATTAAAATTCAAAATAATTGTAAGTTGATGTTTTAAAATTTTTAGTTAACATAAATTAAACACTATAGGTCTTTAAAATCCTATAATATCTATAATATCTTATGCATAAAAACACCTTTATGTTCTATTTGGCGTTGACGTATATCTTTCCGTCGTGCTCTTGCATCTTTTGCCAAAACACAGTTCTCATCTTGACGTCCTTGCATGACTACAAATGAAGTTTTGATTAGAAAAAGAGTGGGAATTATTACATGCAAGTATAATCAGCCATACAGTTTTATTTTTTATAAGTTGATCCCATATATTGACATTACCGAAGACTAAGAAATCATATAGGATATATCAAAGGATTATTAGTTAATAAGAGGAAGAATTATAACTACCAAGGACGGTGTTTGAGGTATATAATTTTATTGTTTATAAGCTATGCAATATTCTTTTGTATAAGTTTCTTGTTCTTCTGCTACCAAAGAATTTGTGAAATCAGTATTTTCAATTTCAACATTCTTTATCCATTTGTAGAATAAAACGTAGGTTAAAATATGATTACAATCCACCGTCATAAAACGTATTTTCTCAAAGATGATTACTCTTCAAAAGATTACAATCTACCACCAAACACCTCTTATGGATCAAGCGTTGAACACCTTCACAAAATGGAATGTACTACCCAATTCAAACTAACATTCACTAATTTATTATGAATTGCCAGATTAAATTACAAATAAAAAATAATAAATGAATACAGGGACATAAACTTAGGTTAATGCCTCTCTTGTACAACTTTTGTAATGTATCATTTGAATCAAACCGGAGATCCTAATCATGTATTTTTGAGTGCAAGAAAGTTCAAAGTAGTCCTAGATAGCATGTTTTCATTAAGAAGTAAAATAAATTGAAATCCAAGCAGTGTAAAAAACAAACGGGTGTTACTGTTAGTGTCTTAGTGTCGGCAAAATTCTGTCCTTGCTTCCGTGACTACATTCAAAGAAGTAGAGCAGTATTGTTAATTAAAACTTAGAGGAGAAAAAAATCTAGAAGTCCAAGAATATGAATCTTAACAATTTTTTTATGGTGAAGATCATAGACTATAGTGATCGAACATTCTGCCTAGCATCTACGATCAGTGAATTTACTAATTTAATAATTAATTTACATGAATTTTGGAAACTAACCTTATTCTTGAATCGTCGAACAACTCCGAGCCGAATTAAGGATTCTCTCAATCTTGAACAATTGGAGACTTTCCCTTTGCAAATTAGTCGTTGTAGAAGAATAGACCCAAGAAATTGATTGATTTCGGCAAAGGATCCTGGAGAAGAAGGATATGGCGAAGAAGAGGAAAACCTAATCGCAGTGCGTCAAATGAAAGGCCGTGCGCAGAGGAATCCTAAGGTGTCAAAATAGCCAA